AAAACGCCTATAGGTGAAGTTCTACAGTACTTCACCTACACTTCTTCACCGTCCAATTCATCACCGTCTAAAGTTTATTATACGAAAAGTATATAAGGAGGCCATTTATCTCTAGTATAAGGTGGTTACAATTAATCTTGACTATTGGATGCAAAATTGCGTAGCTGCATTTATTTTATTGATCAAGCTCAAGTTTAAAAGAAATCTTTTCGAATCTGATTTTATATCAGATAGATGTAAATAATTGTGACATCTCTATATCAAAGGTAAATCTGATGGACAACATTGATTGTGACTTTCTTGTATTAAAAGTAAATTGTCTCTTGATATACATTTCAGTAATACGATGGTCAAATATTTATCTTGGTGGAATGGACCAGAGAGGTTTAGTAAAAAATGGTGAAAGAGTTGAATGAATCGATAATATTTTTATATTTTGAGACGTTGCCATTCTCAGCTACATACACCTACCAAACCAAACATAGTAATGAAAAGTAGGTTTGAAAATCTTAGGTTTGAAAATCTACTTCATTTATTGAACATAAGAAATAGATAAGCATGCATTTGTATCTTCCCAAATGTCTTCTTCAGATTGTTTAATCAATCTCTCTCTCTCTCTCTCAATGCTTAAAACATGATTTACCCATGGTGAGGTTTGTATAAGGTGTCAACCTTATACTATTGAAGTAAGATGCACCTCAAAATTATGCTGAAAATGTAATTTTGATGCTACAAAGTCTTGTGATGATATGAAAATTCATTGCTACCCTCAATTATAAAATTTTAAGTTCTAGAAATAGTGACAATCAAGCAGATCTATGAACACTAAAAAATCTTGAAAATAGACAATCCAAATAATATATTAGAAGATGAACTATTTTTAAATTTAATATATATATATTTTTTATATCTATAGATCGCCAAGATGATTGATTAGAGAGTTTACAGCATAGAAAAAGCCTTTTTATAAAAAACAATTTTGGGTGCACCTTACTTGCACAGTATAAAGTTATCATATATAATTTTTTTCTTGTATCCACATACACTCTTACTTTCCTATTGGCTCAAAATGATTTCTCTCTCCTAAAAATTTCAATTACTCTCTCTCTCTCTAAATGCATACAACATTTATTTATTAAGAACACAACTTTCTCTCTCTTCTATTGGCTCAAAATGATATCTTAGTAGTTAACTTGATGCACTAAACAAAATGACAGTTGATCCGAAACCCAACACCCACAGCTCTCCACCCTTAATAGACCCTCAAACCCGCATAAAACCTCTCTCTCTAGAATCTATTCTCCCAAGAGAGCCCAAACATCTTCCCCCTTCTAAAGAGCATTAGAGTCCCATTTTTTTTTATTATTATTATTATTTAGAATCGCATTAGAGTTCCACTTCCCAATACCCAACATCCTCATCCTTGTCTAAAGAGCCTAAAACTCTCTCTCTCTGTCTCTCTCTCTCTCTAAATGGCCACCACCGAGACAAAGGAGAAACAGGAGGCTTCAGGCCCCATCCCAACTTCAAAAGATGAAGTCCAAAAGAAAGTGGCGTTGCTCCTGAGGTTTCTAGCATTTGGTGCCACTTTGTCAGCAACGCTTGTGATGGTACTCAATAAGCAAACATCACCCGTCACCGTGGTTTACAATGCCCCCGTTCTCCGTTTCGTCACGGCCAAATTTTATCAAACACATGCCTTTGTGTAAGCTTTCACACCGTCTTTTTTTTTTCTCTTTTTCTTTCAAACTCTGATTTTATACATATAAAAAAGTCTAGGGACCCAAAAACTTTAATAAAAATATGAAATGAGGCAATTTTGGCTGTAAAGTTACGTGGAAGGTCCGTTGTCACTTGTTTTTTTAAAAAAAATTATAAAATTACGCCGTGTTCTGAAGATGGTGCCCTACTAACAAAAAATTAAAAAAATAAACAATAAAATGTAATGCCTAGGCGGTTTAAGGTTAGAATCTTCGGACTGCCCCTTTGGATTGAGCAGGCCTCAGTTCCTGAACGAAATGAGATCCTCATCCTTGACCACTCTTTCTTTCTTATTTTTTGAGAAAAATAGTGGTCCGAGATCCCCATCCTCGGACCACATTTTATATCTTATTTTTTGAGAAAAACAGTAATCTGAAGATGGGAACCTCGGACCACTCTCCTAAGATTTTGTTGTGCTGGCAGAGAATCTTTGAACCTCCTGGGCTTTACCCTAAAGCTTCATGCACTAACAATTAACAAATAAACTAAAAAAAAAAATTAGAATGCGGTCCAAAGATGGAGTCCACAAACCGAGGGGCAATTTTTTTTTAAAAAAAAATGTGGGTTGACCATTTTACCTTGTAATTTCCTCCAATAATCAGATCATTTCATATTTTATGTAATTATTTCGGGTCCATAAGTAATTTACTCTCTTTTTTTAACCCATTACACAATTACCAACCTAATTTCCCATCACTAGGTCTGGCAACAGGCTGGGCCGAGGCCCTCGAAGAACATTTTGTATCTCAGGTCCTAGTTTTTTAGGGTTGGGCTGATCAGGCCAAGTCAAACTACCTGACCGCCTTAGGAGCACCTTAGGACCGGCAACATATCAGGTGCGGGTCGAGTCCAAGTAATTTGGACCTCGACCCGGGTCTAATAAATAAATAAATAAAATTAATAGTAAATATTTTTATATATTTTATATCAAGTCGGGACCTGATCGACTAACCTATAGGGTCCAAGCCAGATCTAGACTTAGACCTTGACCGAGACCCAACCCAAGTCTGGTCCAAGTCATTTGGACCCAGACCCAGAACTGACCCACTGGGTTCAGCACATGGACCTCTTACTAAAGCTTAAAGGTATAGACCAGTATGTTACCTTTATCATCTGGATCGGATCGACCGGTCTAATGGATTAGGATGTTAACCAGCTTGTTTAGATAAACATCATCATCATCATCGTTTGAGTGTTATCCCAACAATTTGAGATTGATTGCATGAATCATGTTCCACAATAGGATCAAGATTTATGAAATAGATGTTGCAAAAATTTTAAGTTGGATACCAACCTAACACAACCCTCCTTTTTTCAATGAGCTTGAGACTCGCATGACCGGTTTTAGTTATATGAAAAACAAAGCCTGAAAGTAATTTGCAAAAATTATTAATATATTTTAGCATTTCAACCATTTTTTATCCGTCCAACGAGTTTGCTATTTAGTTGGATCACTAAATGAACTAAGACCAGACACTAATCCATCCAACCGGTTTGATGACTAGTTGGACCACTAAAGGAACAAAGACCAGACATTCTCTTGACTCACTGTCTGTTTGGTCTGATCTTGATGAGATTAATGACTAGTTGGACCACTAAATGAATTAAGATCAGACATTCTCCTTATTTATTGTTTGGTCGGATCTTGGTAACATTGGGTCGAATATTTATGAACAAACGATGAAATAATTTTTTTGTGTTTGAAATTTATTTTATTTTTTGAATTGTAATTGTTAGATTAAGGAGGAATTAGGGTTTTTGTTTTTTAATGCAGGTTTTTTGTGGTTGCAAATGCGATAGCCTGTCTCTATTCTTTGGTGATGCTCTTGGTTTGCCTGGCTGATTTGATTCGTTTGTTGGGAAACAACTCATATGTCTCGAAGGTTCATGGACTTCTAGTAATCGTCTTGGATTTGGTAATAATCTTTTTGCAATTAAGTTTAGTTATTGAGTGATTTACATATGGGGTACACCCTAAGAGGTAGAAATTACAAAGGTCGGTCATCTTGATTTTTTTTTAGAGGTAAAAATTACAAGGAGGGCTGAAATTATAAAGAAAGATGGAGACTTTGGATTGTTGTTTTTCAAAAAATAAAAAAGAAAAAGCAGTTCGAGGATAGGGAACTTGGACATTCCATGAACAGAGGGTGGTCTGGTGATTCGAACCTCGGACTGCTCGGACACTGCCCTTAAAGCTTGGTGCAATGCCCTATTAACGGAAAAACTAAAAAAATTAAAATTAAAATTCAGTCCGAGGATGGAATTCGCAGGCCGAGGGATAATGTTAAAACAAAAACAAATGAGTTGACCGACCTTCTTTGTAATTTTTGCCTATAAACGGAATGTTTCGTACTTTACCTAAAATTTTAGAATCCGTACGTAAATCACTCTTATTTATTTCTATCATGTACATATAATCCCTTCAAAATGAATGAATCTTTCTCTCCCACACAGAATGGCTAACAGTTTTTCGTTCATACTAGTGCATCTCTCTCTCTCGCTTACACACATATATCACCATTTTGGATTTGGCAAGCCTTTTTGGCAAATAAGTTTATTGCTATTTTATGGAGGTAATCCCTTCAATTAGGAATTGAATATCTTTTTACTCTCTCAAAATGGATTAACCTTTCTCTCTCTCTCTCAATAAATTTTGACAGGAATATGAACACCAACAAAAATGAATTTTTGATACTCTTCCTCTGTCTTCAAGTTTTGACAAGGAGATAAACTCGAACAAAAATGAACTTTTTATATCCTCTCTATCTAAAATTTATTAGAGATTTGAAATTTTACGGCAACATACTTAAAACTTGTATTTGGATACTCATAGAAGATATCCATATCGTGCATTCTTTCATGGTGGAGTTGTGCACTCTTTCATGCTACTTATAACAGTGGACTAAACCCATATCATCATTGGAAAAATACGAACAGTGGATGTTGAATGTGAAAGGGATTGGGGGTCACAGTGGTAACTCCTAGTATCTTAGTCATCATGTTGTGGTTTTCATTTTCACTAATATTTTTTTATTAATATTTTAAAAAAATTAACATGTCTTTCCCACTAAATTACCCTATCTAAAAAATAAAAAAAAGTGAGTACCCTTTCCTGGTATGGAATAGTTCTTAAGTGGAAACTATAGTATCTGGGTGATTTTCTAATTTGATATAGTACTAATTAATAGAAAGTTAACGTTATAATCTCGACATTTTGTAGAGAATAGAACTCAGTAATCAACATTGAGGTTGTAAACAAACTTGGGCCGGTTCATGGACTTTCAAGCCAGGCCAGGTTTTGAGCCATATATTAAAGCTCGCCGGTAGTACCTAGGTCAGCACTGGCAGGCCCGTATGTGTTAATAATAAACTTTGTTATGGCCTGTTCCAAGTCGAGCGTGTTGGTCCCAGGCCCCCATAAAAGAGGAGGGTTGTATTAGGTTGGCAATCAGTGTAAAATTTTTGACACATTTATTTCATGAATCATGATCCGATGGATAGCGAAATGCCAAAACATGATTCATGTATCGAACCCCATACAGTTGGGATAAATAGTTGGGATAAGGCCCAACCTAGGCCTGTTTCGAGATCGTTATCGGAAAGTTGGACTAAATCCATTCTTGGCTTGAAACTAGTGCTCGCAAACTCGGCCGATCAAACAAGAACTGGGCACTTGCCGATCCGGTTTTGGTGGACAGCTGAGTATTTAAAAAAAAAAAATCAAAAAAATATAGTTTTTTTTTAAATGTGTTTTTTAATGTCTTTTATTATTTTGGCAAAGATTAGAAAGTCTTTTAGCTATGAATACTTATTTTTATATTTTTCCTTTTTTTTTTGAAAAATTTCAAAAATACCTCTATACACAAATCAATCTTTTAAAATCCATTTTTTTTTTACTACTTTTCAACTCAATTTAGATGTGATTTGTTTAATCATATTCTAAATATATTTTTCATATTTCTTGGATTTTTTTATTTTATTTTTTATACTTTTTTGGAACGGCTGGTACTTGCCTGAATAGGCCGATTGAACAGCCAATTTAATGGCAACTCGGACCCAGCCTTTATCCAGTTACCTATGCCGGTACAATTTTTCGAACACTGCTTAAAACTGAACTCTAATACAAAAGCCTACCCTACTCTGTTTCAAGCTGGGCCACAAACCCAACCTATTATCACCCTCAATCAACAGATATTTTTTAGGACTTCATTTGCAGGTGTTGTATGATTTTGTTCACACTTGCGGTGCAGGTTATGGTGGCCCTAGTCACTGCGGGAGCTTCAGCTGCAACTTCAGTAGCTGAGTTGGGAAAGAATGGGAACAAACACGCAAATTGGAGCAAAATATGTGACAAGTTTGAGACATATTGTGACCATGGTGCAGGTGCCCTTATTGCTTCATTCATTGGCGCTTTGATTTTCATTTTTCTAACTGTGTTCTCCATCACAGACCTCTACAAGGAGGCCAAAAAGGTCCCTAAATCCCAAGTCTGAAGCCCCTACCCTCTTTCTCTCTCTAACCACCCTAAGAAAGGCACCCCTTTCTCTCTCTCTCCCCACCAAAAACACCCCCACTTTCCCCTTTGTGTGTCTTGCCACCATGGCAAAAGTGCTCTAATTGCTTCCTCCTTCACTTCATTATTCTTGTTGGGCTTTTCCTTGTTATAGCCTCTCTCTCTCTCTCTCTCTCTCTCTCTCTCTCTCTCTCTCTCTCTCTCTCTACTCTACGTCACTACTACTCTACTACTACTACTCTACTCGTACTACGTACTCGTACTCGTACGTACGTTACGTTA